AATTATTTGATATTCTTTGAGTTTTGTAAAATATGATCGTCCACACTACTGTAAATTCAGAAATTACTGCCAGGTTTTAATTAATGTGAATAATGCCACTATGTAAGTATGGCAATAATAGGGAATCACATTCTGATATCTGATGCATATATCTGTATGCAGCCTTTCCTCAAATTGCAATAAATAATCTTGCAGTTATGTCTTCAGAACATCGCAATAATAAATGCATGCAATAGTGTCTGAATTAACAGTATTTAATAATATCTGTCATCTTGCTTCAACATCAAGGTAAATTATCAATGTAATTTCGTTAGTCAAAACATGGAAGTAATATTTAAAAGGAATAACAACGTCGTCACTTCAAAGGTTTCATCTGCGTTACCGCCCATAATTCGATAACTCGTTAATTGGTTTAATATCTGGCATGGAAGTTGATTCTCCGCATGTGATCGATCAAATCACTGACACTTTTTGGTCATTTTCGTGTTCACGGAAAACTACGAACAGACAAGTTTTTGTCGTATATACGTGCGAAGTAACCCGAATAGTCCATTCGTTACATTCCGTTGATGTACGCTGCCGAATAGAGTCATTCGTTCAATTTTTATTTTAGTCCAATTTTCCTATTTCTGGTTAGTTCGATCTTAATAGTACCGACAGCTATCACATATGAAATTGGAGAACAAGGCTGGGTCATTTTCAATTTTAATATTTACAGACAGTTAAAAAGCCATTTCCGTAAGTTAAGAAGATAATTGTACAATAAATACGTTTGGACCCCCTTTTATTAAATACGAATAATCTAAGTCTTTCGTGTATTAGCCAATTAAAATATTCACAATTCTAAACGGTTCTATCCTTTAATTTATAGTTCTTGATACATAAACTAATTCGTGTAAAAATGAATTTGCCGTAAGACAGATAGCGTCAAGCTCAATTTGTCGGTTTGTTTTAATTTTTGTTGTTACTTGTTAAATTAATACAAGTATTCCACAATAAACACTTTTTAAAAAAATATATGTTTACGAACATATTATCCCTATTTTAGCTGTCCAGTTTCAATAATGTAATCAATGACATTTATGACATATACATAAATTTAGAATACTTCTCGATAAACTTTGCACATTTCAACAGTAAAAAAATCTATGTCTAGATTTGTCTACATTATTTTGTTAAACATCATGTGAAACCTGATCGATTCATCGGTATTTAACTGTTTTACTCGGGATCCGCTTTTAACCGGAAAATACTTTTAGAACAGTTTAAAACAAACGGTAAAAAGCAAAAATATGCTAAATTAAATACAATTTTCCATGCTAAACTGTTGTAGGTTGAACAATTCTCGTCCGTTTTTCAAGTTTTTTTTACATCATACGACTTCTTTCTGAAGGTAGATGTTTTATATGATACAGCACCACCTTCTTATTAATAAACCTCGGATTTCACACAGGTGCTTTATAATTACCGGACTCGATAAAATCACGTGACTGATAAGAAATTCCAGATGCCATTTTACAACCGCGGTATCACAGATAGTAACCAAAGGGGTCTTGCTGCTGAGACTATAATTGGATAAAATCATATGACTTTAGTACAGAGCTCTGCAGGCTGTTAATACATGCTAATTAGTCGTTGTTATTCCTTTTAAATATTACTTCCATGGTCAAAAGATAATAAAATCAAAGTGCTTGTGAACACTAAAGGGTAAAGATTGCTTTCATTTTGCAATTTTGTGAATTTTTAATAAAACATTAAATTGTATTTTGCTAGGTAAGTTAAAATATTGTACATTTGTAGTTGAACCTATTTTTATAACAGATTCATCTTATGTAATTTTCAATTAACATATCATCAATAAAGTGCATGACATTGACTGGATAGGTTCTAAATAACGATCAATTCACTGCACTATTTTGTTTGAACTATCAAAGGCATATCAACCTCGATCAACCTTAGAAGATATAGATATCAAGTCAGTACCATTGGGTTTTGATTGCACCCAAAATACCAAGTAAATTGAGTTTTATTCACCCACAAGGAAAACTTAGACATTCAGATATCACTTGCACAAAAAAGATCATACTGGTATTTTAACAATTTCTAAACATAACTAGAGGCTCTCAAGAGCCTGTGTCGCTCACCTGTATTTACTGATGCTTTGGAAATCATGTAAAATAAGGTTAAAATCATAATTAATAGTATTAGGTATTAGATATTATAATGATATCTAAGATAATAACAAAAAACTGCAAAATTTTTGTAAAATTACTAACTCAGGGGCAGCAACCCAACAACGGGTTGTCGGATTCGTCTGAAAATTTCAGGACAGATAAATCTAAATCTGATGAACATTTTTGCCACTTGTCAGATTTGCTCTAAATGCTTTAGTTTCAGAGATATAAACCAAAAACTGCATTTTACCCCTATGTTCTATTTTTAACCAAGTCAGCCATGATGGTTGGAAGGCGGGGTCATCGGACAAATTTTTGAAACTAGATACCCTAATATTGATTATGGCCAAGTATGGTTAAATTTGTCTCAGTAGTTTCAGAAGAGAATTTTTGTAAAAGATTACAAAAATTTACAAAAAATTGTTAAAAATTGACTATTAAGGGCAATAACTCCTAAAGGGGTTGACTGACAATTTTGGTCATGACAACTTATTTGTAGATCTTACTTTGCTGAACATTATTGCTGTTTACAGTTTATCTCTATCTATAATAATATTCAAGATAATAACCAAAAACTGCAAAATATCCTTAAAATTACCAATTCAGGGGCAGCAACCCAACAACAGGTTGTCAGATTTGTCTGAAAATTTCAGGGCAGATAGATCTTGACCTGATAATCAGTTTTACCCTTGTCAGATTTACTCTTAATGCTTTGGTTTCCGAGATATAAGCCAAAATCTACATTTTACCCCTATCTTCTAATTTTAGCCATGGCGGCCATCTTGGTTGGTTGGCAGGGTCATCGGACACATTTTTTAAACTAAATACCCTAATGATGATTGTGGCCAAGTTTGGTTAAATTTGGCCCAGTGGTTTCTGAGGAGAAGATTTTTGTAAAAAGATAACAACGACGGATGACGACGACAACTGACGACGGACGCCAAGTGATGAGAAAAGTACAATAATCAGACAGTGTAAAAAAAAAGAAAGTCTTGTTAGTTCATCTTCATGACACCATAAGGAATTATAGGTGCTGTGAGCAAACTTAATAGAATGATACTCCTCGCCCCTTGCAATGTCCAGGAGTCTAAGGACCTGGCCTTGCAGTCATAAAAATTTCGAGTTTGATTATAGTACTCAACCAATCAAAATACTGGATTTGATGTTTCGAGCACACATATTGTACTCCGAGAACTGAGTAAAGTTTTATGACCGAGGGCCCAGGGCTATAATTAAAATCAAACTACATATAAAACAAAAAATCCAATTTTGGTAAGTATCCACTTAATGATGATTTTAACATTTGTTTGTGAAAAAGCTTCAATAAATTGTAATGAGTCCATGATTTGGTAAGGAAAACCCTAAAATTATTTCAGACCAAAAAACAAAATAAAATATAAATATGGTTAAGAAATTGAGAAAGTTTCAATAAATTGAAATAAGGCATTAAGGAAAAGTTGTTGATACAATATGGATATAACCAAATAAAGAAATGACAAAGTCAATTATTTGGTAAGATAAACACCAAAATATTTCAACCAAAAATCAAAATAGGAGGTGCACAATAGAGTTAAATGGTTAAGATTGTGAGAAAGTTTCAATAAATTTTAATAAGGGGTTTGGGAGAAGCAGATGTAAAAGTAAAAGTGTACAAAAATAATGTGCAGATATGAGGAAGTGCATGTCATTTCAAAGTAACCCCCAAAGTCATTCAGATGAATAATTGAAATAGGAGTTGCAAGCATTCTGTCTCAAGCTGTTCAGGAACAGTTATTTATACAAAAGTGGGACAGGACAAATGAATAGACAGACATAAAGATGGATGGGCAGTCAAGAACATTCCACCACTATATACTGCCTGCTTTAGAAATTGGAAAGGGGTGTCATAACTAGAGGCTCTAAAGAGCCTGTGTCGCTCACCTTGGTCTATGTGCATATTAAACAAAGGACACAGATGGATTCATGACAAAATTGTGTTTTGGTGATGGTGATGTGTTTGTAGATCTTACTTTACTGAACATTCTTGCTCCTTACTATTATCTCTATCTATAATGAACTTGGCCCAGTAGTTACAGTGGAAAATATTTTGTAAAAATTTACAAAAATTTACAAAATTTATGAAAATTGTAAAAAATTGACTATAAAGGGCAATAACTCCTTAAGGGGTCAATTTACAATTTTGGTCATTTGACTTATTTGTAGATCTTACTTTGCTGTACATTATTGCTTTTTACTGTTTATCTCTATCTATAATAATATTCAAGATAATAACCAAAAGCTGCAAAATTTTCTTAAAAATTACCACTTCAGGGGCAGCAACCCAACAACGTGTTGCCTGATTGGTCTGAAAATTTCAGGGCAGATAGATCTTGACCTAATGAACAATTTTATCCTCGTCAGATTTGCTCTAAATGCTTTGGTTTCAGAGATATGAGCCAAAAACTGCATTTTACCCTATGTACTATTTTTTAGCCATGTCGGCCATCTTGGTTCGCGGGCGGGGTCATTGGACACATTTTTTAAACTAGATACCCTAATGATGATTGTGGACAAGTTTGGTTAAATTTGTCTTAGTAGTTTCAGAGGAGAAGACTTTTGTAAAAGATTACAAAAATTTACGAAAAATGGTTAAAAATTGACTATAAAGGGCAATCACTCCTTAAGGGGTCAACTGACCATTTTGGTCAAGTTGACTTATTTGTAGATCTTACTTTGCTGAACATTATTGTTTACAGTTTATCTCTATCTATAATAATATTCAAGATAATAACCAAAAACGGCAAAATTTCCTTAAAGTTACCAATTCAGGGGCAGCAACCCAACAACGGGTTGTCCGATTCATCTGAAAGATCTTGACCTGATAAACAATTGTACCCCATGTCAGATTTGCTCTAAATGCTTTGGTTTCAGAGATATAAGCCAAAATCTACATTTTACCCCTATGTTCTATTTTTAGCTATGGCGGCCATCTTGGTTGGTTGGCCGGGTCACCGGACACATTTTTTAAACTAGATACCCCAATGATGATTGTGGCCAAGTTTGGTAAAATTTGGCCCAGTAGTTTTAGAGAAGAAGATTTTTGTAAAAGTTAACGACGACGGACGACGACAGACGCCAAGTGATGAGAAAAGCTCACTTGGCCCTTTGGGCCAGGTGAGCTAAAAAAGGGATATGACACTAATGGTTATATGTAGAGATAAAACATGTATGCAAAATTCCATGAAAATTGTAACTCTTTTAAATGTTGTCACACACACACACACAAAACCAAGGAGATTTTTCAAAAATAAGCAAGTATGGGTTAACCTCATTACATTTCAAAGGTAAAATATATTCTGTTGACAGAAAACCTGTCTAAATACTTATAAAACATACACATGTTAAATAAGATGCATATGACCTTATGCAGATTCTTAAAATTAAAATAATTAATCCATAATACTATCAACTTATAACACGTAAAATTGTACCCTTAAACTGATCTGAACACAATGGTTTTCGAAAAAGTACCTATAATCAGTAGAGTTGAGTAGACACCAGATTTCACCTGCTTCTCTGTGCCTAAGTTACATGGGCAAAATTTTGATTGTAACTTAAAAGGCATGTAGTCACCTTTTTTCACTGTTCGGTACAGGTATTTAAAAAAATCCTGATACTTTTGCCTATGAATTTATCCACATATAATAACACTACTAAGGTGTTGGCTTTCTCCTTGACAGAGTAAAACAGGTCTCTTTCTAACGTTATTTTTATCCAGAACGTCACCTTTCATCTTTTATTTTTCAGCTTTATGGTATCACATTCATCACATTATAAATTCTTTTTGTTTTTCTTCCTCCTCATACTCGTCACTAAAATCTTCATACTCAGTAATTGTCTTTTCGTCAGATATTTTTTTTCCTGATGATTTTTTCTCCTTTTTCCCAGCATTTGACAACGTCAAGTCCTCTGGGTCAAATTTCAGTGATATATTTCCCAATTCTCCATCAAATCTATTTTTAGTTACCTATAAAATGTCATATATAATAATGAATAGTTTGAAGAGAATCTAAATTTCTAGGAAATAAAAAGAATTCTCAACTATTAATTGTAAATGTCAATTTTGAGATTTTTTTTATCTCAGGCAAAAAATGATACATGGAGTGTAAAAATAAACACATGCTCTGAGTGCTTGTTTTCATTATGTTACACCTTTAATTGAATAAAAAAGAATTTTAAAATCATAAATGTTTTAATCCTTTTTTCCTTAAAGTTTACTGATGTGGGGTTTACATCATTAAGACAACAAGCCAACAACTATCATAAGTACCAGGGGGGATACAGAATTTTTGAAAGAGGGGATGTAATTCAAGAAAACGGAATATATACCACTGAGCTTAGTCAAAACAAAATTTGCATACACCATCTACAGCCCCACCCTGAATCGGTTACTGAATACTAACTTTGTAGAACATTAAAACAATGAGCAAAAAATTTTAAAAGTCCATCAGCAATAGCCAAACATTTTCAATTGTTGCCAATAATAGTAATCAAATACCATTTAAAATGAAACTCGTTACCAAAAAAATTACAGCCATATGTTTAAACTACCGTGACATTCGCCAGAAAAAGTGGAATATATAAACACTGTTCATGCAACTGACCAAACTCTTTCCAGGTGGTATGATAAATAACTTTGTTAAGTACAAACATTGATACTAACTTCATACTTAATTTATCAAAGTCATAATTTAAAATGGCTTGTATTCAATGACTTTGAAATCATAAAACATACATAGCAAATTTGTATGCTAATAAAAAAAAAAAAATTAACTCGGATAAAAATTTACATTTTTACATTTTAATTTGATTAGCTGGGAAAGTAAAACAAACTAATCCAAGGTATTTTTCATCCAAGAAATAGTGAATCCTCTATGTCTCATCCCCTATTACTCACAAAAATATATTTAATTGAAGTTGTCTCCAAATTTTATAAATTACAAACAAAAAGTTGTCTCCCATTTTCATTACTTGTGCGATAGGAAACAATGGCGAATTCCTCACCATGCCTAATTGTCAGGGAACCATATAGTTTATTTTCATATGGCCTTTTACAATAGCATACCTGTATATATTTTTTTCCTCCTCTTTTTGTTTTACTGGTCTGTAAGAGAATAACATTGTCAGCTTCCTGCGTTGCCTTGGCACTCCCAAATATTGATGCTGTGGTTAATTCTGTATCTTCATTTTCCTTTAAAATAATTAATCTATGATATCACTAAAGTTACTATTTTACATTATCCCCGGCTAAGTATATTTCTAGGATTCTGATTGGTTAACGCACGTCGTTACAAAACCCATAGCCCCTGGGTGTTGCTAACCAATATCCCCGGACGTTGCTACCCATTACATCGGGGAATTTCACGCGCGTTTTCCTTAGTTCCATGGTTGTTCCTTATGAAATATCGAATTCTGTAGCTTTTCCATGATGTCTGTATAATTAAATATTTAATCCACTAACGATTTTATCTTATTATATCGATTATTTGCACTCATTTTAGTAAATGCATCACTATGCAGCCACATTGTCAATGAATGGTACTACTGACCTAGCTATGCAAATGACCCACGTTGACGTCACACCGTTTATGATGTAACTCTCACAACATTGCGCGCCAAATTCGACCCATTTCAGTTTCTCTGTCTCTAGTTTAAAAACGTCTTATATTTGTCTACCTGTAGGGTTCTACCAAAGGTAGTACCCTACACCCCGTTAAAAATATGTCAAATTCCCAAATTTCAATAAAAGATTTTTAAATAAACTGTTATCACAGAGATATGTCTCGCCTTTTTGTAATTTTGATAATGCAAATGTTGAAATTAAAATAGCAATACTTTAACGTGTAAGTTCTGCAAATATTCAAAGTTGATGAACCATGACTGAAGGTACATGGCTAAACAATGTCCATGGAATGAGATGTGCCAATGCTAATACAACTGCATACCAAATACTATTGACTTATTATAAGTCGTTCCCTTTAAACAAACCTAAACACAAACATTAACTTGTAAACTATGTAAAAGTTTCAAAGCCAATGAACCATGATCAGGGGTGGGGCTATATAATCTCCAAGGAAATGATACTTGCAAATGCCAATAAATTTGCATACCAAATATCATTGACTTAACATTAGCAGTTCATCTTAAACTGATCTAATCACAAACTAATACATGTAAACTAAGCAAAAGTTTCAAAGTAAATAGACCATGACTGAGGGGGCAGGGCCAAATATTCTCCATGGAAATGAGATATGCCAATGCTTATACAACTGCATACCAAATATCATTGACCTACCACTAGTGGTTCCCCATAAGTTGACCTAATCACAAACTAATACATGTAAACTATGAAAAGTTTCAAAGTCAATAGACCTTGACTGAGGGGGAGGGGCCAAATAATCTCCATGGTAATGAGATGTGCCAATGCTAATACAAGTGCATACCAAATATCATTGACCTACCACTAGTGGTTCACCACAAACTAGACCTTATCACAAACTAATACATTGTTGACGCCGCCGTCGCCGCCGACACCGGAAACAGCACACCTATGTCTCGCTTTTTGACTCCGTCAAGGCGAGACAAAAATGAAAAAAACATTGCTTTCACGTATAACTTTGAGGTCGAATTTCTCTAAAAATCGCCAGATTTAGACTAAGACAGGGGATAAATTCGTTATCTACGTTCATATCTGTAGATATGGATATTTTAACACCCTTCAGTACCCTGTACACCCTTCGGCTGCACCTCAGGGTGTACTTGGATACTTCAGGGTGTTAAAATATCCATATCTACGGATATGAACATAGATAACTTATAATATATGCACTATTTAACATGTTTAAAGTTTTTGTGTACTTGAAAATTTAAATAAATGATATCCAACCCCCAATAATATGTCTGGATTCTGTCTCCTGTAATAAAAACTAGAAGTTCTGTGAGAAGGGCTTGAAATCTGATACCCCAGCTCTCTATACCCACTTGACAATGTTTTGTTTTGGGAACCCTTAAAATCATACTACAGAATAAACAAGAATATGTCCATTTTCTATGTTCAGTGGAACGTGAAATTGGGATCAAAACTCTAATTTGGCATTAAGATCAGAAAGATCATATCATAGGGAACATGTGTACTAAGTTTCAAGTTGATTGGACTTCAACTTCATCAAAAACTACCTTGACCAAAAACTTTAACCTGAAGCGGAACAGATGCACAGACCGAAAAACATAATGCGCCTAGGTGGGGCATAAAAAATATAGTATATTTGTAAGCATTCAATGGTTTAGAAGGAGTTGCTGATGGGTGATGTTCACTCCCTGGAATATGAAATTTAAAAGTCCCATTTTTTGGTATGGGAAACTCAAAGAATCTGTCTGATCAAAACCTATATAGATTACCCAAGCAAGTTATGTGAAAGTTTTGTTGAAATTCAATCTTTTGTTCATAACAAATTGGTCCAGATGGACAAATAATAATGACCTTTCTGGGATGAATAACCAATGTTATGTGAACATTGTGCGCTGAAGCAAATCTTCTGAAGGCAGCATACACTATGTTCTGTTTGGAAAATTTATCTGTGACATCCATGTCACTTCCCATCATAAATTGTAGATTGTCGACTATAATATGCTGGGTATCATGAATATACACTGCATGTGCCATGGTCTGGAAAAAATAAATATATAACACATTTTATGTTTCAATTGAGTAGAGTTCATATTTCAACAGAAGACAAATATAAGGAGAAAAACTTGATTTAAATTTTTCATGTTCGCCAAAAAATATGTTACTATATTTCCATATTTCAAACCATGCAGTCAACTACATATTTTTAGGGAGATCTTAGTCTTCTACATCATGAAAAGTGAATTCTTTGATGTTTAAACCCAAAGCTGTCTACCAATTTTTAGTTGTTATTTTTCAAATTGTACTTGGTCATATGCAAGATTTTCATTATCTTTCATGTAGAATGCTCTTGTCAATATATTCTATGAGTACATTATATACTGTGAAAGTACTTTTATTCGTGCCGTACCAATTTTCGTGGTTTTTGTGCATGGCTTCATCAACGAATTTAAGTGTCTAACGAAATATAACAACTGTTTTCCAAATCGAGACAAGGAACGATCCAATGTACACGATGTACATGGATACAGCGTATAATCTAGAGAATACATCGAGTATCGGTTAACGCACTATGAACTATATACATGTATGTACAACTTCAGACAGGGTTTTACCCATTTAATCTTTAAAGAACCTAAACTGTACATCTTTGAACCTTTTAATTGTCATGAAAAATTTGTTTTGATTGATGAACGTCAGATGATATGCAATGATGAAGTGTTCATGTTATCTCCTCACAATTCGCATACATAAAAAAATAATTTCATATTGGGATTGCTTTCTTATTTCATAAGAATAAATTCTACAATTCAAAGCACATTTGTAGAATTTTTTTTATGTAACTGAATTCTTTAAGTGACATGTTTATTGCCCAATCAACTCCTTTTATGATCGTTAATCTGTTGATTATTTGATCTCGGGTTAATTAATGTCATCACTTCTGATAACACGTGTTTACTTAACAATTTCTGACAACAATTCCGAGACAATTTGTAAGCATAGATAAATCAGCTTATTTCCGAAACAATTGTTTTATTAAAAATTTGATGATTGTTGTCAGTAATGAAAGACGATCTAGTAAGTGAAAATGAACACCTAATTTGCAATGTCCAGCAAATCATTATAAAACAACATATGATTATTTTCAAGAATCTTCGTTTCTGATGGCTTCAAATTCTTCACTCAATTTTTTATTTCAGAAAACTAAAATCCATGAATTTAAGAACCCACGAACATGTAACTTTTGCTCAAACCACGAAAATTGATACCCACGAATAAAAGTACTTTCACAGTTATAAAGTGTTTGTGAGCACTAAAGGGTACAGATTGCTTTCATTTTTTAATGTGACCTTAAAATTAAAGACTGCATGGTATCCAGCAATGGAAGGCAATGTTTTGAATTGGAGTTATCTCCCCCTTATTTTTAGAACAGATAAACATATTGTTTTGTAACTTGAATATATGAATATATAATATTTATGAATTGCTTGACATGGACATAGATAGGATTTAAAGAATGTTCACTTCACTGCATTATGTTGTTTGTGATCTCAAAGGTACTGTATACATGAAGTCTGGAAAATATACCAAGCAAGCTAGTGACAAACGAGTTTTGATTGCATTTCATGCAATCTTTACCCCAAAAATTCCACAATCCAGGCAGTAATTATCAGTAGTTTTTGAAAGGGATAAGTACCAAATATGACCTGTTGATGGAAGTATATAAATCAGGCCTTTACTTTTCTCCTTTGAATCGTTTTACATTTGTCATTTCAGAGCCTTTAATAGCTTGCTATGGGGTATGGGTTTAGCTCATTGTCGAAGGCCGTACAATAACCTAGTATAATTGCTTATATATATACACCTCATTTGAACTCTGGTGGATAGTTGACTCATTGGCAATCATACAACATAATCTTATTTTTATAACATTTGTGAGTTACATTTCAAAGTGTGACACTTTCCTTGTTTGGTGACCCATAGTTGTTAACTTCTACATCATTTGGTCTCTGCTGGAGAGAAGTCTCATTGACAATCATACAACATCTTTATATTTCTATATTCATATGCTCAAAATTAACAGATATCTTACATCTATAACTTTCTTAATATCATTCTGTCCAAAAAATGTCATAAAGTGCATGGGTAATTTTTGGAATTCATCTGCATAATTATCAAATTCATTCAAATTTTCTGGAGAGAGTTTCTTCCTGAAAATACAAAACAAAGTACTATAAATCAATCTGTAGTTGGTTTAACACATTTAAACATCAGATTAAGATAAGATTCTATTTCAGCATTCCAAATTCTTCTCTTTTTTTGGATGTGGGTCTTCAATTCTTAAATTTTTTAGGCCATTATCCTCATTTTCTTTCAATCACCTCATTTTGCCCATTATTCTTTAATATTTATATTTTAGCACCACATTCTTCACTTTCTTTATTTTTTACCCTCTATTCTGTAAACCTCATCAAGACCTTTGTTCATTGACCATTATACAATTCCCTTAAGTTTCTTATTCAAAGAACCATGATGGATACTTACTTAGCATATTGAATTAACATTGTTTTAGCCAGTCTTGTATTATTCACCTCAAAGCTGCCCCATAGTGTGTTTACCTAAAAAATGATTAAAATTAACTCACAAGTTAAGTTATGTAACATGACAATTATTTAATGTGAATTTTTGGCCTAAAAAGCAAATTTTACCTAAAACCAAATTCAGGATGAACTCACTGTATCACAATAAATGACCTGTAAACAATACATTTTGGACAAGAATACACAAAGTACCCTCCAAGCATTGTTTAATTCAAATTAGCTACACAAGAAGAAGAAGTTTGATTTTGTGATTCTCCGGTCTAGAGATATAATTCTACATTAATATGTCCTATTCACTGGTTTAACTACATCACTTTAGTTACATTAAAATATTTCAGGAGAAACAAGTGAAACTGCGAGCTACTGCTCACTGATGATACCCCCAGCCCAAATATTTGATGGTAAACAAGAAGTTGTTGAGTGATTAATCTGAAAACGCATCACACAGTATAGCTGACTTATATAAACACTGAAACCAAATTTCAGAAATCCTTGTAATGTAGTTCCTGAGATAAATGTGACGAAAATTTTCAACTTGGATGTGTTGTGTAAAATGATGTAAGTGTTCGGTAAACAGGATGTTGTTGAGTGACCATCTGAAAACGCATCACACGGTATAGCCGACTTATATAAACCCTGAAACCAAATTTCAGAAATCCTTGTATTGTAGTTCTGAGAAAAATGTGACGAAAAATTTTCATGGGACGGAAGGACGGACTGACGGACTGATGATGGATGGACAGACAGAGGTAAAACATTATACCCCCACTTTTTTAAATCGGGGGTATAATAACTAGAGGCTCTCAAGAGCCTGTGTCGCTCACCTGTATTTACTGATGCTTTGGAAATCATGCAAAATAAGGTTAAAATCATAATTAATAGTATTTGATATTAGATGTTATAATGATATATAAGATAATAACAAAAAACTGCCAAATTTCTGTAAAATTAATAACTCAGGGGAAGCAACCCAACAACGGGTTGTCAGTTTCGTCTGAAAATTTCAGGGCAGATAAATCTAAATATGATGAACATTTTTACCACCTGTCAGATTTGCTCTAAATGCTTTAGTTTCAGAGATATAAACCAAAAACTGCATTTTACCCCTATGTTCTATTTTTAACCATGTCAGCCATTATGGTTGGAAGGCGGGGTCATCGGACAAATTTATTAAACTAGATACCCTAATAATGATTATGGACAAGTATGGTTAAATTTGTCTCAGTAGTTTCAGAGAAGAAGATTTTTGTAAACGATTACAAAAATTTACGAAAAATTGTTAAAAATTGACTATTAAGGGCAATAACTCCTAAAGGAGTCGACTGACAATTTTGGTCATGAGACTTATTTGTAGATCTTACTTTGCTGAACATTATTGCTGTTTACAGTTTATCTCTTTCTATGATAATATTCAAGATAATAACCAAAAACTGCAAAATTTCTTTAAAATTAACAATTCAGGGGCAGCAACCCAACAATGGGTTGTCAGATTTGTATGAAAATTTCAAGGCAGATAGATCTTGACCTGATAATCAGTTTTACACAATGTCAGATTTACTCTAAATGCTTTGGTTTCAGAGATATAAGCCAAAATCTACATTTTACCCCTATGTTCTGTTTTTAGCCATGGCGGCCATCTTGGTTGGTTGCGGGGGCATCGTTTTTTAAACAAGTTACCCTAATGATGATTGTGGCCAAGTTTGGTTAAATTTGGCCCAGTGGTTTCAGAGGAGAAGATTTTTGTAAAAGCTAACGACGACAGCCGATGACGACGGACTACGGACGACGGACGCCAAGTGATGGGAAAGTTCACTTGGCCCTGTGGGCCAGGTGAGCTAAAAATATGAAAATATTAGAATCTACTGATATCATGTCTATTTTCTTGATTAATTGATTGATTGGTGTTTGCCTTAAGCCCTCACAGCATAAAAAGGCTATACAGTTCTTGAGAGCTATGTTAAACATTTTTACAATAGATAGTGTTTTAAAAATGGGATTCTTACCCCTTGCATACAAAGATCAAGTGAGTATTCACTCATAAAGGTTGTTTTTCCACTTCCTGTCCGACCAGACATGACAGTTAGTTCCCCTGGACGCAAGCCTTTCAATACATTATTAAACTGGACAAAACGCCTCCACTGGAAGTAAAAATTGTAACTAATTTAATAATAATTACTTAATAATCATGGTTTATCTGGGTACATCGATAGCTTGTAACAACTTTGTTTTTTTAAATTGTTAAAACAGAGAAAAACATGTAATTTTAGAATGTAGGACAGAAAGTCACAGGACAAATATTTGCAAGTCTTTTTTTAGATTTGTGAAAGAAAAAAGAGAACAAAATTGATCTCATTACAAACTATTTATGATACTGGGATTATTTCTTTTAAAATTTTGATTTGAAAGTATATTTTGAAATAAATTTGTAAAATGTGGACTCACTTGACCTGCATTAATTGTCTCAACAAGTTTATTGAAATTTGAAATAATTTCACTATTATTTACTTCATGAATAAAAATCCCCTCCTGCAACTATATGAACAATAATAAGAGATAGCAAGTAAATGGTAGGGTTGATCTAAGTTTGGTCCTAAATCTTGAACTAAATCATTCCCTACATTAAAACTTCAATTAAAATGCAATATGTATGTAAAAATATCCCAAAGTAAAGCTATAGCACCATGACACTTACTTGAACACCAGCTACTAATTCTTGTTGAGCAATCTGAGCCTTTACTTCAGTCCTCAAATCTTCAAAGGATGTCAGGTGATCATTTTTCATTGGTTTAGCTTTAGACAAAGTGTGTGATATACTCAAATTCCTTTTTAATATTTCATGTGGAGTGGCACATTCATCACCAGGTCTAAAATTTGAGTAAAATAAATTGTTAACAGAGATATGTCTGGGCTTTTTGTTATTTTGATGATAAAATGCAAATGTTGAAATTAAAAAAGCAATACTTTAACATGTAAGTGATGCAAAATATTAAGTCAATGAACCATGACTGAAGGTACAGGGCCAAACAATCTCAGTGGAAATGAGATATGCCAATGCTAATTCAACTGCTTACCAAATATCATTGACCTACCACTAGTGGTTCCCCATTAACTGACCTAATCACAAACTAATACATGTGAACTAAGCAAAAGTTTCCAAGTCAATAGACCATGACTGAGAGGGTGGGGCCAAATAATCTTCATTGAAATGAGATGTGCCAATGCTAATACAACTGCTTACCAAATATCATTGACCTACCACTAATGGTTCCCCAAAAACTGACTTAATCACAAACTTATACATTGTTGCTGCCGCCACTGCCGCCAGAAACAGCATACCTTTGTCTCGCCTTTGGATTTTGTCAAGGCGTTACAAAAACTTTTCATTTATAGATATACAATTGTACAATAAACTAAAATCTATGATACATGTGTAATTAGGGCAATTCAAGTATAAAATATCTATAGTCTTTAAAAGCACTTTTGTATAACCAAAACGGCTGCATTATGAGTAAATATCCCTGTTAATTCATTGTTTATGAGAATTTTGAGCAGACTTAAAACTTTAGCAATTAATTAACATTCATAATTGTAACTACATATAAACTATGATAGCAAAAATATCTTCTATAAATTTTTAAAACATTATTTTGATTTTCAACTGGTATATTTTATTGTTTTTCTAGTGATGTTATCTAAAACAGCATTTTCCTCCAAAAGTTTGTTTCCACTACCAGAAAAACAACACATCTAGACCCCTATAGTTTCTGGTCAGTCTCACCAGGTAATTTTTATCCCGAAGGTTTATGTTGCTGTTACTTGAAGAAAAATTTAAACCACCTATTCTTCCAACATGTCCAAAGATCAATATATGGACTTATATCAAACAGCAAGTTTATTTAAGCCTTACCTGAAAACCAGGCATCTTCTCTCTCCAAGTTTCCTGGCAAATTTGATGGTATATTCCCAGGACTGCATATCATCCCCAAACCACAGGATAACAGTTTCAAACTTCTCTAGATATGGCAATACCTACGAAAAGGCATTCATGACTTTAAAAAATTTTCTGCAGACATTGCAATATTCAGAAAAGATATCACTATTTATTGTAAACCAATTATCTTTAAGCAAGCAATTTATTTTCTAGACTTTAGCGAGTAGAAAAATATTGCATAACTAAATCTTCACGGACAGGTCAAACTTCAATCTTTTCCTGATATAAAACAGGAGGGGTATAAATCCATTACATAAAATAAATGGAGAATGTGTCCATGGGACACTGATGATGCCCCCCCTTGCATATAACGTAATAAAGGGGCATAACTAGATAACGGTAACAGTGACCCAAATTCAAACTAGATCTGTATTTTGTGGTAACAAGCATTGTGTATAAATTTCATAACATTTGGTTAAGGCAAACTGAAGTTAGAGAACAGAAACCAATTTTGGGACGTACATATGGACATACACACAAGGGTAACACTTAATGCCCTCACCAGTTACTGCCGGGGCTTAAAAATGCAAAAATAAATCATCACAAACTAGGCTAGAAAGGCCTATACGTGAAAATATTATCTGAAAATTATTTTGTTTACAGTATATGTTTACCTCATTGTATACAGGGTCCTATAAAATATAGAACAGGAGATGAAAATAATTGTGATTTAGTGCATTTCATTGAATCTTTAACCTGTTACTGGTCCCCTGTCCTTTATCTATTTTACTTTAAAAGATATAAAGAACAGGTACCCAGTAAACAGATTCTTACTTCATTACTTTCAAAAACCAGTGAACAAAAACAATTATAAAACAAGAATGTGTCCATTGTACATGGATGCCCCACTATCATTTCTATGTTTCTAAGTTTCAATTTGATTGGACTTCAACTTCATCAAAAACTTTAACCTGAAGCAGGACAGACGAACGAACGAACAGACACACAGACCAAAAAACACAATGCCCCTAGGTGGGACATAAAAAATGTAAACAAAAATTGTTCATAGGAAAGCCTGTGAAAGTTTCTGCAAATTTTGTTTCAAAATGGCAGCTTTTACAACAATTAGATTTCTCTTAAGAATGTTAAAACATGCCTCAAATACTTTTGATTTGTGTTATATCTTTTAATTAAGAGTTTAATATTTTATGGAATGATTGATTGGTTGTTGGTGTATAATGTCACTTTCAGCCCATTGGTTATATTGTGGCGGCCAGATTTTATTGGTGGTTGAGCCAGTATGCCCAGAGAGATCCACTAACCATCAGCAGGAAAACTGGCAATCCCAGATGGTCCCTTTTGGTTGTCTACAAATATAGTCCCTAGTGTGGACAGTGTATAACTTGCCATTTTTTTGCACGGGATGCAAATTATTTTCATACAATTTCCAAATTTTTTTCTTTATATTTTATGCATGAAATATTAAGTAAGGGGATGAAATTACATGTTAAAATAAACTGCTTCACCGACCGCAGAGGTCCAACCCTCAACAGTTGGGGCAAAAATGGACACAATATTCAAGCTTGATACAGGTCTGAATTTGAATTGTAATTAAATATTTGACACATTATAGGTTTCTGACACATAATAAATGTAGTCAAAGAACTTGAAATTGGTTGTATGATTTGAATTTATATTCAATTGAAGATTTCTTGCTGTTGTGCAATACACTGTGCTGTTGCGCAATACTTAGTAGATCTGTTTTCAGACTATATACAAAGAATTAGCAAAATAAATTGTGACCCCCAATTTTTTTCTTTGGAAAATTGACAATTTCTTAAATCTTGAGGGGAAAAAAATTGCCCCCCCCCCCCCCTCACAAAAATTTTTTTTTTACCCCCCTTCCAAAAAAAAATATTTGAAGAGAATTTTCTTTTGAGGAAAAAAATGTGTTCCCCCCCCAAAAAAATAAATGAAAATGTTACCCCCCCCCCCCCCCCATTCCAAAAAATTTAATTTTGAAGAAATTTTCTTTTTGTAAAATGTGGTACAAATTAATAGACATCCATACACTTAATACACTTGCTTGTTTTAGACCCTTTTTGGCCCCTAATTCCTGAACGGTTTGGGCAATTACCCCCAAAATGAATCCCAACCTTCTACTTGTGGTACAATTTCAGAGCATTCAAAATACTTGTACACAAGTTATTGTCCTGAAACTAGAAAAATGCTTGTTTTGGCCCCTTTTTGGCCCCTAATTCCTAAACTGTTAGGACCATCACCCCCAAAAACAATCCCAACCTTCCTTTTGTGGTATTGAACCTAATGTCCTATTGGTTAAATTTCATAGAGATCCATACACTTAAACTAAAGTTATTGTCTGGAAACCAAAAATTTTTTGCAGTCGTATAAAAATTTGGATGCTGAATCTTTATGTTAAATAGTCATGGTCCAGTTAAAAAAGGTCAAAAAATAGTATGTCTGAAGCTGTCAAACTGAATTTTAGACCCCCTTAACATAGAATTGTCAATATTTTGAGTTAGAGCTGGTAGACTTTTCTATAATTTTGATATTATTTGTCCCAATAGTAGTACACTACACTGTAAAAATCTTTCGAGATAGAGCAGGTGCGATTGTTTTAATTTGACTTAATTGTCTAAAAGAAATGCACTACGAAATAACTGTGTTCTCGTGCCAGATAAATAAGATCAAAGTCCAACTAACAACCTCAGTGTCGACAGGCTAGTGATTGCTGTAGATGAAATACTTATACAACTCAGTCACTGGGGCTCAAGAATTTTACGAAAGAACTCCTTTCACAGATGTAAGGAAGTGTGCATGGCCTTTAAACATTGTTCTCTTGTGGCTTTTAAATAGGCAGTATCTTTCCATAATAGCCAAATGAGATATTCATTGTACATGATATTGTACTTTTATGAATAGTAAAAATAACTATTAAAGATGAGCAATGAAACATCTATTAGATAAAAGTTTACAAATGAAATTCAAAGAAACTTCATTAAATTAGTTAATTGATTCACTAGGAGTTTTTATACAACCAACTTAATCAGTGAATGAATGGCATTTCACTCTACAATTGATTGCTTTAAACTTCTCATTGAACAAACTCCAAAGAGAACAATAGCTATTATATTTATTCAACCAAACAGTTCACCTTGCAAAAATGTAAATATCCTAACAAACATTAACTAATTCGGGAGAGAGGTTTTATGTCCTTTGTAATAACTACATTTACTTGTACAAGTTTGATGATGTTGTCTTTTAACTGTTTAACAACCAGCTACAAATTAAATGCATATTCAGAAGGAAATCATGTTAATATATGAATATTAGCCCTGCTTTGTGCCAAATCCACACACTAAGCCAGATTTTTAATAACCTAATGCACAAGATAAAAGTCCACAGGAAACATGTCACCATTACCTAAACATTATTCTGACTCTATACTGTTCAGTCTTTGCTCTTACACCTAAATGACGCTTGCTTAGCATAGAAGCAGAAAATACCAATTATAAAGTCTTTGGTTCGACCTGCAGAGGGTTTGAACCGACAACCTCCCGCACTCAGTGTGAACAAGATATCAAAAGACCATGAAGATGGTTGTACAAGTTTGATTCTTGACTGTTATGTATACCAAAACTTTTCTTAAATAAGATTTTTTTGTCTATTCATTTAAACTAATTGGACCTGAAATTAATAATTCTTAAATCATGTTCAAGGATGTAATATATTCATGTTGATATTACCTCCTGTGGAAGATTTGATTCTCTAGGAAGAGATAATACACTATAGTCTGAGGTAGTCTGCTGTAATACTAGGGCATCTTTTTCTGTCTTTGTTAAAATCAACTGTTTTTTCTCCTCATCTTCTTTTCTCCATCCAAATAATGAACTCTGACCTGATCTGTGTAAAGCAACACTAAATTGTACACACTAAAATGTCTCACATTCATTAGTGGTCATTAGCGAATTTTTTAAATTGAAAGACTTTTTAAGATTAAAGTTCTACTGCATGTATCACATAAACTTAACATAACCAATGATCTACCAAAACTGAGGTCGAGGTCAGATGAACCCTTGCAGACAGGAAATATATACCATACAATTATTCCATACACCAAATTTAGTTCAACTTTTGATAACACTAGTATTTGAAAAAAAGACCTTACCATGAAAACTTAATGTTAACCAATGAACCATGAAAATGTTGTCAAGGTCCAATGAACCCTTCCACACAGACATGTTCACTTACAAACATTCCATACATCAAGTATATTTTACCTATTCTAATAGTATCTTATAATTGGACTGTACATGAACCACAAAAAATAAAAGAAGAATGTGTCTGAGGACACGAATCCCCCTTACTCAAGCATCGTCAAGCTTTGCAATTTTCCAAGATAAAAAGGGGTATACCTCTATAATGGTAAATGACTCACTGCTCAAATTTGAATTCTGTCTGAGTGTTGTGGTTCATAGAATGTGTATGAATATCATAAAATTTGCATGAGGCAAACTTAACTTAGAGTGTGGAAAGGAAAAAAATTGCAATTTTCCAAGTTATAATGACTCTAGATTGGCAAGTAACTCACTTCCCAAATTTAAACTTTGTCTACCAGTTTTGGTTCTTAGCCCTGTGTGAAAGTTTCATAAAATTTGCATCATGTAAACTTAAGTTAGAGTGTGGAAATGAAAAATTTGCAATTTTCAAAGTTATAAAGGGGCATAACTCTAGAACAGTAAGTGACCAAAATTATCCCAGCTTTCTCTCCTTGTGGTGCAAATATACAAATTTTGAAATTATCAAATATTACATAATTATTTGTAAAAATAGATTTAACCATACAATAAAATTGTATGACTTTTTTACTTAAAAACAAAATTTCCCACATATAAATTGATTTCTACATCCAAATATGCTATTTCAGTTAAAATCTTCACCAATTTTTATCTCATTCTCTTCTCGTGTAAAAGAAAAAAAATTACCCATTAGTAAAGGAATAAGATAAACCATTAAATTCTCCATCTTCATCGAAGTATGGTGTCAAACATTTACAGTCAATTAAAACTCCATCAGGACTTCGGTACGGAATCAATAAAGCATGTCTTTCCCTGTCATAGGTAATATTCTGTTTTTCCAGTGTGGACTTCTGGATATTCTGCAGAATGAAAAATACAAATTTTATAAACACACTATCAATTAATTAAAAAATAAATTAGTATATCCCTTCCTACTAACAATACAGTTTTTTTTAATCTAGAGTGGATTCATTATAGTTCTTGGGTTACAAATTTCCGGGATTTTGTGGGTCAGGTGAAACAAGAATTAAAATGTAAAATGAAGTAAAATTTTTTTTAAAGGCTTGTGTGAATACTGTTGTAAAACCACAACATCAAATATCCATGAATAAACAGTTTTTCCTTGATCCAGAAAAAAAATCAACAGTATTTTTCAAAACATCAAATAGAAAAAACATGAAGTTGCTTTGAATATTTAAATTTTAAACCAATGAAACTGCATATCTGAAAAAATACATTCGATAGTCTTGATTGTGTGAGTCTTTTTAGTAAGACATGTGTCACCTGCTGTTTTCAAATGATATACATCATATAGGAAGAAATAACTTAGTCCATGTTTTGGTATAGAAAATCTCCAAAAATAAATATGATCAAAAATCTAAATAATGAGGTGCATAACTTTATGTCCTGTAGAAGAATCTGTACAAGTTTGTTAAAATTCTGTCAACCTGTTTTCTAATTTCTGAATTAACAAATTGATATAAGCAGAAAATACTTTGTTGATGTCATGGTATAAGTAACCCTGAAAAATCACTCAGTCAAACTTTAACATATGTGCAATCTTCATGTGAAGTTTCAGGGATCTGGATAAAAAGCTGTAGGAGGTAGGAGTTGATTACACAAATTAGGTACCTACTTTTCCCTGCTTGCCGGCCCAAAACAACACCACCATTCTACTAGACTTAAAAGTGGAATTTGACAGGAATTAAAAAACATTGAGAAAGATGGAAATGCACTAATGTCTATAAATTTAGGTCTTATTATGACACTTCTGTTGAACAATATACATTTGCAGACTGATTGTTGTTTGCTTATCATACAGAGATAAATGTTTCATGCATATTCATGTCTAGACCGAATGTAATAAGAAATCAATAATCCACATAATGTAGATGTAAGCTATTATAAGTCACTGTACTATAGTATTAGTAAGTTATAAAAGGCTCTGAAATAACAAAATGTTTAACAATCCAAACAAGAAAACTAACGGCCTGATTTATGTACAAAACAATAAACGTAAAAAAAGAATTAGACAGCGACCAATGATAACCACTGAATTACAGGCATCTGACTTGGGACAGATACATAATGAATGTGGTGGTGTTAAACAAGTTTGGGAGTGCTCAACTCTCCCCCTAACCTGGTACAGTGGTTAAAAGCACACATTAAGAACAAAGTATAAAAATGACTCATCAGATCAACACAATGCACAAAAGGCAACTAACAAAAAGACTAAAGACATAATGTACCGATCTAAGTGTACTTAAATCGCAGTTACTGAAAGCCAGTTCAAAGCCAATGACAACTAATAAATAAATCATGTCACCAGACAAGTCTTTAATAATCATTTCTTACTTCAAATCCAAGTAATTCTTCGATCTGTTTGAATTCCTCTGATTTAAATTTCTTCAATTGTTCACCTTTTCCAAGAGCTTCCAGCGCTTTTACATCAACTTCTGTCCAATCATATATATCATATGTGTCTTTGTCATTAAAACACACAAAGTTCTTTCTGAAAATAGTAATCGACAGTGAAAATTTAATAAGCCGTCTATTTTTAATTAATTTATATATCTGAGATTTTAAAATTGTATTTTTGAAATTTAGTATTGTCCAATTGTCCACTTGATTAAGGTTCGCCATGTTGGCTATTTAACACAAAATAAAAACTACTAACAAATGATTATATCAATTTAAAACTCAGTTGTTCATCATGTATAAGAATATCATTATATTACTTTCTCAATATCACACCTGTATCAATGGAGACACCAATATAATCCTGATAGCGTTGATCAAGGGCTGATACAGTGTGATACTGTATAAACCATATCATATTCATTTTACAGCTGATTTTTTGTTCTGGTTTATTTAAGCCGGTACAACTTTGACTTATATAGGTATCATTGTGGATGCCCAATATAGAACTAGCTATTAGCCTTGTTATAGCATTCAGGTAAATGTTCAGTCTTTTAGACTGTTAAAGTTATAAGTTATAACTACACAAAAAAATAAATCTGTTAAAAAATACATCTGGCTGCTGAAAAAAAGTGAACTTAAAATGGAATTTCTATTTTTGAAGATAAACTTTAGCAAATTGTCTCTGTATACAGTCAACATGGTATATATGTACTTAATTGTTATCAAAAGAATATTAAATATACTTACTTAGCAACTTTTGTCTTTATCAATGTTTCAAAATTTTCCTGTAAAGCAGTTAAGGGACCATGTTTTTTACATGTAAAACACGTAAAATACCCTGTAAAAACAAACATATTTATTGAAACTTGAAATTTTAACAAAAATATTTTAGAAGCAACAATTTTAAATCTTTTCAAGTTTCGGCCACTTAAAATCATTTTCATTGCATAATTCAAGAAACAATAATATTTTTTTCTCAGTGAATTAGAATTCATATAAACAAAGATTCTTTTAAGTCCTTGTTCCATTCTCTAATTTTTTCTATCACAGGACTAAAGACTACAAAAGGCTTTTTTCAGTTCAAGGTGATAGAATTTCCTATTCATATTTCTACTGTGTTGTGTTCTGTTACTCATTAAAACATATTTCCGACAGAACAACCCATTATCAAACTTTTTCTTATTTTTATATTATCATTAATGTAATCTAAATATTTGAACTGAACATTGAGTTGATGGCAGGTACTTTCATAACAATATAAGGCTTAGGCCCTCAGATTTTAACCTTATCAGGGACTGTAGTGGCCAACAAATAAGTTGTCTTACTAGTATTTGTCCTGTACCATATATACTTTATATTAGTCAGGATGTGAATTTTGACATGGGAGAAAAGTGATGCCAGAAATATCGTAAGCAGCTGTATAGAGCAGACACATAGCACTGTTTTTCAAATTCTAATTTCTGGTAATGTTTGTATTATTTTGATTCTTTGAATATATTCTTAATTTTGAAATCCAAATATTACAAAAAAAAGTTTAAAATTTGTTTTACATTACATGCTCATTAACTGAACTATTACCTGTAGTTTTATTGACATATATGGCATCACTAACAACAGGTTTCTTGATCACTGAACATTTTAGACAGTTGATGATAACACAAGTATGTCCCACTATACGCTTTAGTTTGTGAGTTTCCAAAAGATTCTTTACATTTTCATCTAGCCCTGAAAAATCTTCTAGGTCCATTAATGAGTCCTTTTTCTTTTTCACTTTTTTCTCTTTCTTCTCTTCATCTGTAGCACTTTTCTTTGATGGTCGTGTCCTCTTTGCTTTTGTTGTTTCTAAATCAATATCACTCTCATTAGGCAAAGCTGTTTTCTCTGGCAATAATTTCGTAATTTTAGAACCTTTTGTTGTTTTAGCAATGTCCTCTTTCACATTTCCTACAATTTCAGTACTTTTCTCGCTACCAATAGTTTTCGTATCTTCAGAATTGTCTTGTGTATCCTTTCCTGGTACATTTTGTTCATTTCCGCCATCTGAGATTCCTGACAAACCCCTACATGCATAATATAAGGAGTTTCTAATTGCACTGCTTTTATGGCATATTCTGAAGGATAATGTTGAATAAAGTTTTACTTTGCTATGTCGAAGAATTAGTCTTAAATCAGTGTGTACAAGTCTGCTTAATACAACATAACTGACGTTCATCATGTTGGATATCTCACGTGTATTAACTTTGGTAGTTTTGTGTTAATTTTCTTTTTGATGTACATCTTTTTGGGGTATCAGCCATTGTTAAAATAATCCTCATCACTTTCGATTTTTATTATCCATTCCTCTATTTATTAGTTACAGTTGTAGTGTCCTGCTTTTTACTCATTTTCTTCCTTCAAATATAAATATATAAATATAATTTTTTAGAACTCTGCAGAGTTTTAGCAAATAGGTGATGTCATTGATTTTTATGAGATTTTGTAATCACTTTAAGCTTACAGAGATTTTACATGTAGATGCCTTTTTTTGACTTTAGCCTCATTGATTTAATGTCCTCAAAATAGTCAGACTGAAAAAAATCTCTCATTTGAAGGGAAGGTTAGTTTCTCATTTGGGGGACCTATTCCGCATTTGGCAGGATGGGATGAGTCCATTCTGCACAAAAAGATAAACTTGTACATGTCGTAAAACCAAATTCAAAATTTGTCTATTTTGTTTTACAGATTTTTTTACCGATACTTTGATGTTTCTACTTCTATTAATGTTTTAGTTTTGTGTTCTAAAACCTAATTTGCTTATATAAGTTGATAGACCTACAGTGGGAAACTTTCTACCATATAAATATTTAATGTCAATTTATTGAGAAGATGCACACATATGTAGATTTGTGCAGGAATCAATTCTACCTATTTTAAAAATTGTTATAAAATATCTAAATCTTTTTTAACAGTGAACATTTTTGAAAAAAAAAAATTTGCTTAAAATTTCTAAACCTAACCATACATACATGTAACATAAAATAGTTATATTCATACAAAGAAAATATTTTTCTATTGAAAGCTCCTGTGACAATGTACAGACTGGTGCTTTTGAAAACTAAGGTGTAGACAGCTGGTAGACACATTGTAGAAAAATGCTAGATTTTAGAAAATATTATCATGTTAAGGACTATGCCATTATGTTGTCACAGTTGAAAACCTTGAAAATTTGAATATAGAAAGAGCTATAAATTTTGCAGGTGCAATATTTTTTTTATTTTATTCAATATGATATTTTAAGTTAACTACAAAAAAAAACTTGTATCTACCTATGTTATTCTTTTAAAGACACCATCTGCCTATTGTCTTTCTGCAATATCAGTGAAATTTCTTCAAAATTATCTTACATATTGTAGGGAACAAATAAAACTTCAAGGAGTACTCAGCAGTTGGGCTGACATCCAAAGAGGTGTACACAAAAGCTAAATGTTGGGACCTTTATTATCTAATATTTTATAAATGATAGATTTCATTTTATTGAACATGAAATTCTACATAACTGTTGCTGATGATAATACTCTGCCATATGCTGATGATGATTTTGAAAATTTAAATGTACACTTGCAAAAGAAAGTTCAGCTATAATTGAATGGTATAAATGTTACTGCATGCAAGCAAATTCTGATCAATTGCAGGAAAAACAAATTTGAGATGAAGCCTGTTTTTAATATATAATCTAAAATTTCATGTGATGAGATTGTCAAACTTACAGGTTTTTCAAATGAATTTTTGGTTTCTGAGTGAATATTTGAAAGTCAAGTCTAAATAAATTCAGGCAGTGCACAAATTTTCCACTTTCCTCATGATTTTTAAAGTAATCATTGCAGACGTAATAATAAAATTAGTGCATATGGTTACATTGCGTTATAGTTACATTAAATTTCAAACTTTGGATTTGTTTGATTCGACCCCAAAAATTTCAAGATTCAATTTCTGTAGTTGACATATACTGTGGATTCAGTTATTTTCGTGGGTACCGATTTTGTGGATCAAGAAAAAATTGGATTTTTCGTGGATTTTTCATTTCGTGGTTTTACAAAAGTCTAAATACAATCCTATAGAAAAAGGTGCACATTGCGGAATCTGTCGTTTGCTATGGCTACACCAATAAATGCATCGGCCTTAAACATGCCCCAAAAAGCACATACTGGATGATCCAGAAGTTTCAATTCTACTTAAAACTATACAACATATACAATGTATATGAAACATTGTATTATTGAATTAAATTAGAATAAAAGGGTTTAAAAGTTGTATTTTAATATATTACAAAGATAGTTTTTTTTGTATTGTTAAGTTTTCAATGTAATTGTAGCCAGTGCAATCATTTTTTACTGCTGGCTATTTGTTCAAATAGTTTGTAACTATATAATTTGTGTTTATGTTTGTTCTTTGGTATACACCTAGTAGTTTTACAGACTGTCAGTAGAAGTACAGTCACTTGTCTCAGCAAAAGAACACGTTACTCAAGAGTCATATTAATAAAGGTATAATATATACATATTTTTACAGAGACAAGTGCCTATGTCTGTGTGTGGGTAGCTGCGGAACAGTAGCTCTTAGGTCCTTCTGATATTTTTGACAATTTGCGGACCATAGTCCTTAAGGACCTAAGAACTACAGTTCCGCAGCTACGTGTGCGGTTGAATTATAGTCATTTCGTACCCCCAATTTCGTACCTCATGGAATATTTACATGTATACCATTTTGTACCTCATGGAATATATATATGTATACCATTTCGCACCTCATGGAAGATTTGTATGTATACCATTTCGTACCTTATGGAAGGTTTGTATGTATGCCATCAGTCACGTCTCAGTCATTACAACTGAACGGACGTGCTGGGTCAGCTCTCCTTTACCCGCTATCTTCGATGAGGGTTTACAGTTAGATGGATCAACGACTTACTACTTTCGATGACAGAAACCAATCTAACGCTGTACAGTCTACGTTAGGCTATAATCCGCGTAGGGGCAAATTCCCGCGTCAACATACACTCCAAAACCCATTATGGATGGGGGAGTGGTATGCCGAGTGACGTCCGAGGGCTGTATCCTAGGTGTTAGATGATGGACCGCCATTTCACTGTCTCACGACTTTGGTCCTGATAATGCTTCCTGTCATCGTTAATACTACGTCCGAGACTCATCTACCAGTAGTCCATCATCGAGGTTAGCGGGCTGCCAAGCTGACCAATCTGGCCCTGAAAGCAGCCGTTGTGAAGACATAACATCAAAATAGTCAACAAAAGAAAAACCAAAACAACTCACAAAACCAAGATGGCGGCCTACCAAAATGGCGTCCTTCACCTGTTCCTGACCGATGGCACAAAATTATTTAAACGCTCACCAAACGCCTTCGGGCACCGAGCCGACCGTGCGAGGGATGTATATCCAGTCAAGGTCGTTAAAAACTTCCATTTGTTGTTGTTGTATGCCATTTCATACATCGTGGAGGATTTATATGTGTTTTATTTCTTGGTTAAAACAGTCTCATTGACCTTTTACTGTTAGGTGGTAGAGGTCACGAGAAATGTCTAAAATTTAAAATCAAAGCACCTATGAGATATTATACAAATAGGAATAAAGTCAATAAACGAAATTTTTTTTGAAATCTATAAAACTTTGTATTTAAGATATTAATTTCAAATATTAGCTGGCTCTTTAGTAACAGTTCACTTTTCTGCCGATAACACTGATTTTGTTACTTTTGAATACACGTTTAACAAAAGACATGCACCGTACTGGCGTATTGTTTTCAAAGGTAGCATTATATTTAATTGGATTAAAAATGTTTATTGAATACACATGCCCATTGAAATTGTGACGTGTGCCTAAATATTGAGATATATTCAATTGATTATCGTAAAGTGCAGTTGAACCTAAATGTATATATCATATGCATGGATTTTTTTTTTAAATAATACTTTTAGAAAAATATGCAATACACACGAAAAAAAGATATTTACCAAACGTTTTAGAAATTTAAAAGGTTAGATGTACATGATGTAAGGATACAAAATAAATGAACTTGTAATTTTCTCAAATTGAAAAAGCCGTAGCAAGTTCTTTGATTGGTCACAAAAGGTGCAAATTCTTATGCAAACATTTTTATTCATGGCTTCCTTCTTGGTGAATACCAGCTTGCAGTCTTCACAATAAACTTTTAAACCTACTAGCCAGAGGGACTTGTGGTTGATAAGATTTTACAAGTCCCTTAAGCTTGAAAAGACTACAAGCCCCCACAAATTTCTGTCATCGTTGAGCACCGCAACACGGCTCAAACTAGCTAGGGGGGTTTGAAGTCCCCGCAGGTGGAAATTTTCCACAAGCCAGTCGGACTAGTCCCAACAGCATATTTACAAGTCCCCAATAAAATTTACAAGCCATTGGCGTCAGATTTGTGGCTAAATTCAATGACTTTGTGTCCCTTTTCACTGCATTTTCTGGCGAAAACAACTGGTAATAACTATATATGTAAAAACAGTTGCAGATAATTATCCTTTGTTGGTTAATTAACCTTACATTTTTAGTTGAAAAATTAATTAAGGATAAATCCTGCAAACAAAGTGTAATTAAAACTATTCAAGTTTCTATGTGCTGCTTAATCAAACCAATCATCAGTCTTTATAACATTTCTACGGCTGGATGCATTTTATTTATGTTATTTAAAAAAAAAGGTAAAATCATCTCAAAATGTTTTATATCTTAAAAAGGAAGCAGGACAAATGGCCCCACTGGCAAATCGCCCCACACCAAATCACCAAATCACCCCACTTTTTCACCATTACTCGACCCACTTTTAATAAAATCGCCCCAAACTGGTTTACTAACTCGCCCCACTTTTTAAAAAATCGCACCACTTGTGAAAAGTGTTAAATTCCGTTAATTTTTCTCCTGCCAACTCGCCTCACTTAATGAAAAAAGGTAAAATCTAGATGAATATATAATTTTCAGGTCTGCCAACTCGCCCCACTTAAAAACGAAAATTTATTAAATTATTTTTATTGACTATGAGGTGGCATGACTCAATTCATCAGGACTTTTCTATTTTTCATAAGTGGGGCGAGTTGGCAAGACTCAATTCATCAGGATTTCTCTTATCTTTCACAAGTGGGGATAGTTGGCATTCACGTCACAGAAATACTGATACTCACTTAAATTCTTTCTGCTTTATTTTAACAAAAAGAAAAGAACTACAAAATAGATATAAGAAGATGTGGTATGAGTGCCAATGAGACAACTCTCCATCCAAGTCACAAGTAAAAGAAAAACCATTATAGGTCAAAGTACTGTCTTCAACACGGAGCCTTGGATCACACCGAACAGTAAGCTATAAAGGGC